TCAAAGCATACTGAGCATCTTTCTCTTTGACACCATGTCTGAAATCCCACGTGATCTGTCAAATACTAATGCATGAAAATCCTAACCTCAAAAAAATCACCCTTATATGCGTATTTTTTAAATTTAGCACGTTTGTTTTTAATTCTAAATTTTTTTCCCTCAGTGTACTTTTTAGTCCCTTTATAAAAGCGTGGTATATTAAAAAGTTATTTTATTTTATTTATTTTCTACCTTTTAGTTTTGTATCTATAAAATTTTGCAATAGATATTAAAATAATTCAACGATATTAATAGATTGGTACACACACACATGCATATATGTACACTAGGGTGGTCCAAAAACAGTAAAGTCGGAATTGTAATGCTCTCACCCCCTAAGATTGTTCTATATCAAAAAAAAGTGTACCCCTATTTTTTATTTTGAAAGCAAAGCACTCAAAGATTTCCATGTATTTTTATAATCAAAGCACTCAAAGATTTCCATGTATTTTTATATGGGAAAAATAAATTGTTTCGTTCAAATGGTATAAAATTGTTGAAAATCAATATTTTTCGATCGGAAAACTCTGGTTCTCTTCAGGAGACTTTCAATAATAATCCCCAATTATTTACTTAACCTTTTTTTAATACTAACGATTTTTATTGGTCGCCCCATTGCATTTTTCGGGGCTTTTGTGGGTTTTTGGCGGACCGATGAAGAAATATTTAAATAAACAATTGAGTATTATTATTGGGAATCTCCTGCAGATAAACGGAGTTCTCTGGTAGAAAAATATTGATTTTTAATTATTCTATACAATTTCTACGAAAATTTGTTTTTTGCCCATACAAAATACATAGAAAACTTTGGGCGTTTTGAGCACCTCTAAATATTTTTTGATTTCAAAATAAAAATAAAGAATGGTACATTATTTTTCGGTATAGAACAAAAATAAGGGTATATTTTTTTCGGTATAGAACAATCCTAGGGGGTGAGAGCATACAAATTCCGACTTTACATTTTCACATGCATTTGTGGACCACCCTAGTGTACATACATACGAGCACCAATTAATTTCATTTAAAGAAATGGCGTGTCGTCTATTTCCGCTGTAGAGTATGTAGTGCATATTTTTAGGCGCAATATATAACTACTTGCGGCGAGGCGACATCTACCTCTACAGTTTTGATATGATACCTAGACGAGATTGATATCTAGACTAGGTTGAATAGAAACTTTGCCATAATACCTTTGCTATAAATGGTGTCTGGACACACAACATTATAAGTAAGCGTTGTCAAAAAAAGGACAGACCAGAAATTTGCCAAAATACACACACATTTTTTTTTCTAAATAAGAAGATATACATAGGTGGGGAATTTTACGAAATTTCCCGCAAAATCGGCGATTTTCATTGTCAAAATCGGAGAATTCTCAATGTATGTATAACAGGCTAACCTAATATTCACGCCCGCCGCCAATTTACTGTAAAAAATTTTCTCATGCACATACAACTTGTAGTGCACCAACCGAAATTGAACGGCGTGCGTATGAAGCTAACTCAATTCGCACGCAAGCCAATTTCGGTTGACGCAAAAATACAAGTTCGACGGCGTGCGTACCAAAACGCAAGCCGCGAATATTAGGTTTGCCTGTATTGTATTGTGTTTGCTTATTGACAAAAGTGAAAGATTAAAAGCGACAGAGAGTTGGACACGTACATAGGTAACTCTGTAGCTGCGTGGAAGCGTAAGACTAGTAAGAGTATAGGTTTTTGAAAAACCAAGACTTCCGAATGTTTTCATACATATGTATGTATGTATGTATATGTACATATCTGTTACGGTTGCCAGACGTACTGATTTTATCAGTACAGTACTGATTTTTCAACTTTCGTACTGATTTTGATCATTCCTTCAACCAGTACGCTTATGTCCTGTTTTTTTTACATTTGTACTGATTTGTACTGATTTTTCAATTCTGAGCAATCAAATTTGTAACAGGGTTCTCCCCACCGAGCTTGGTACGCGCTAACTCGGTAATCGGTAATTTTTGCACAAGTATTTTGTTTGTGTAATATTATTTTACACAAACAAAGTACTTTACGATTTGCTTAAGATTTTTACATAACGTTGGAACTTTCTTAAAATTTAAAAGTAAGAAGAAAATAATTTTATTATAGTTGACGTGTTTTAGATAATGTTTGATATGCGCAAGAAATTAATACTAAAGAACAATCGTCTTATGGGCATATTGCGGGTCATTACCTACCAGTTGCGAAAATATCATGGCGTATAATTTATTTAAAAAGAGGGCTGACATTTTTTGCCGAGTGTTGTTAGTTATCTCGAAAATAATTTTCATTTTAATAATAACAAAATTGAATAATTGAATGGCTTTGCCTACAACTTACAATTCGTTTTTCTCAATTTACTGACTCAATTTAGATATTCTTTTTGGCGAATTCTTAGTCTTTCAAAGTTTTTGCGCAGTTAAAAAAAGTAATTTAAGGTATGAGGAAATACGGATGCAGTCATTAAATAGAGGTATCT